CGGGATGTCACTCTGCAGTGGACCCGCTCAGCACGGGATGTCACTCTGCAGTGGACCTGCTCAGCAAGGGGCGTCACTCCGCCGCGGACCCGCTCAGCACGGGCGTCATTCCAGAGGCAAAGGTGGAAGATTGGGAGAGAAGGAGAGAAGGCGGGAAGGACTGAGACGCAAACACCACAAAAGAGAAATGATAGCAGGGTGAAGGTCGTTGAAGAAAAAAACGTGTTAATTTGCCATTTTGCCAATTTGCCATTTTGCCAATTTGCCATTTTGCCAATTTGCTTTCTGCCGTTTGACTTTTGTCCTTTCGACTTTTTGGATCTGTGCCTTTTTGCCGTTTGACTTTGGTCCTTTCGACTTTTTGGATTTGCTCCCTTTTGCCATTTGACTTTCATACTGTTTGACTTTTTGCCATTTCATTTTTGTTCGATTACCCATGTTAAGGCCACAACTTTGGGGAACTAATGAAATGTGAGGGGTGGACCGCTGGCAGAGCTCAGTGCCGCCGACCGGGTGCGACTGGTGCGGGTGTTTACCGGCGTCGAGTTCGCCCTGTCATCATAAGTCCAACACCAGGGTTCGACAAATAAACACGGCTTGACCACTCGCAAGTTGACCACAGCGTTTTGGAAGAGTTTATTGCTTAAATCGCCTGCAACGTCCGTTTTCATAAACAAGCCTGTCTAAGCCCCCGTAGGACTGTAACATGTGGTTGCGATGGCGTGATTCCGTGTACATATCTCGCACGTGCAACTGTGTCAAAGGGCGTGCAACGCTGCGGTGACCTCAGCCCCGGGAGCTGTGCACCGGAACAAAGCGACTGTTTCTGCACAGCAGCACGGACAGCGGCTGATAGAAGCAGCTGCTGCTAATGCCGTGAGCTGCTTGCAGCATTCGGTCGGGACGATCGATCACTTGGGGAAAGTATTGCAGTTATCACGTCGCATGCCCAGCTTGTCTGAGGGAAAGTCATAGCTGACCTGCTGCCTAGCCAGGCAGTTTTCGGGCGGGGGGGGGGGATTGCTGGGGGCTTTACGACACATGACATACTCCATTAGTTCGTGAGGTTTTACGGTGTCGCCTGCCTCTCACCCTGGCAAGAAGGGTGGACACCACAGGGAATCCAATTATGTGCCCCTGGTTTCCCCAGGCAGGCAGCTTAACCACCAACACCTCCGGCAGCGTAGAGAGTTTCCGGCTTCACTACAGGGCGACCCGACAGCATTCATTGTTCAACACGCAGTGCAATGGTTTTCCCGTCATGGGAACCATGCTCAAATCCAACGTGTTACAGGACTATTTAAGAGGACACATGGCCATGACCATGGTGAGCGCTTAGAACTTACGAGGTAAGAAACCAGGGGCTGTGTCATTTGTCACAACATCTCTGGTGGGCCTAAGGCGGTCAATGATACCATGCCGTTAAGTTGGCAGGTTGAAGATATCATCAAAATTTATCCTCTTCTCTCCGCAGGCTCGGTTTTCAGGATATTTGCAAGGCATGTGCGACGTGCCGTCCTGTCTCAACCCTCCCCTTCGCCAGGTGACTCGCCACCCCTCCGTCAGGTGACTCCCCCCGTCCGTCAGGTGATTCACCACCCCCTCCGTCAGGTGACTCCCCCGTCCGTCAGGTGATTCACCACCCCCTCCGTCAGGTGATTCACCACCCCCTCTGTCAGGTGACTCCCCCCGTCCGTCAGGTGATTCACCACCCCCTCCGTCAGGTGACTCCCCCGTCCGTCAGGTGATTCACCACCCCCTCCGTCAGGTGATTCACCACCCCCTCTGTCAGGTGACTCCCCCCGTCCGTCAGGTGATTCACCACCCCCTCCGTCAGGTGACTCGCCACCCCTCCGTCAGGTGACTCCCCCGTCCGTCAGGTGATTCACCGCCCCCCTCAGTCAGGTGACTCGCCTGACTACCATCAGCGCCAGCGGGTAGGTGGACCCCGTTTCGCGGGTGACGTGTGGTTGTGGGCCGCTGCCCGCAGCTTGTTGGCCAGCGTGGAGAACTTCGCAAGAGCACTCCCCGAGCGGGAGATTCGTGAACGCAGCTCCACGTAGTACCAACTAAGGCATTTACATTTCTGATGTACTGCAGTTATATTTTTTTTACTTCATCATCCATATGATATTTGATAGCTAGCCAGTTATTACGGTAAAGAAACTAAAGACAAGCGCAAAAAGAGCTGAGTGAAGAAGTCGTAAATACAAGGAATCTATATGAACGCATTTCAAACGCAAGGTTTCTAAAACCCGTCCCCTTCGAAGAAAAGGCCCGTCTCACCTAAGCCAAGTTACGCCCCGCTACAGACGCTTGAGTGAAAGAGAATGTTGCAGAGTCGTGCGTAATGAGCTTCACTGCAGGATGGACAGCTCGTTTGTTAGCGATTAGTTCAGAGCATAGAGGGACAGGGAACTACTCGGCAGCCAACCAACCTTGATGGACAAAGGCTGTGGTGGTGTCTCTGACCGATGCCTCACAGTGATGCAACGCATGGAGACTTGTACGAGATTCGACATATACTGTGTGCCAGTCTGTCGGCCAACGGATCGATTCACACGTCGCTGGGTATGATGGGGATGCGGCCAGGGTACGTACACGAGGGTCGAGTCTGTGTTGTGCTAGCTGAGGTCCTTCCGCACAGTGGGGCAGAAGCGCCAACCATGGTAATGTGTGCCGCAGGTTTATGACTTCGTAACGTATATAGACAGCATAGAGCTAAATCTTGAACTGCAGACAAATGGTGTTTTAGTGAATGAGGTTGTCCTTTTATGACTGTCATAAAGCGTTAAATGGTGTTAATCAGCAACTGATAGCGAGCGTAATCGTTCAAAGGCGCTCACTCTGTCAAGTTGGGTACATGATTAAGGCGATGCAGGCACTTCAGCAGCGCCGGTCGCCATTTCCCGCCGCGGTAAAGAGACGATTGTCATCTGACGCCGACGACGCAGCCCAAACTTTAGCTGGAGGCGGAGTGGCAGCTGTATTGGTGGGCTAATGACCCGTGTTATCAGCGAGCGAGGAGGTGGTGATAACGGCACCGAGTCAAGTGCGATGCATACGATTTCCGATGATGTCAGGCTCTTATTGCGAGCGAGGCCGCGGGCCTGGCAGACTCTAACGTCAACTAAGCGGAAAGTTTGAAGCTCCAGCGGGCCGGGCCGGTGCGGCCAGTCACGTATATGGGGCTGGTATGTTTACGACCGCGGTTTGTACTGCCCTGACGTTTCCACAAATGGCGCGAGTGATTTAAGACCGTGCCTAGAGATTCGTAAGACATTTATTGTGAACCTTTAGGATTGACGAAGACATAAGATAAGCACATCATGACAGAACAAAAGCGATTTCGCAGTAACATCTACCGGCAAGGATGACAAGTCTGACGACATTCCGTGTGTTGCGTTCCTTTTTACCCCACTTTTTGTGCATTTCAGATTTGGTACCAATTTATACCCGTGTCTAGCGATGCTGGCATGAAAAGACTTATAAACCATAAGCGCTGTGAGCCCTTTCCGACTGACAGGTCCGCCCGCTGCGAGCCCTCTCCGACTGACAGGTCCAAGCGCTGTGAGCCCTTTCCGACTGACAGGTCCTGTCGGCCTGGTCGGGAAACAGTGTATACACCTGGGCAAGCATTGCAGCGTCCGTTGCCAGCGATTGCAGGTGGCATCTTTTAGCTGCGGAAGATTGCAGCGTCCGTTGCCAGCGATTGCGGGTGGCATCTTTGGGCTGCGGAAGATTGCGGCGTCCTTTGCCAGCGATTGCGGGTGGTATCTTGGAACTGCGGAAGATTGTGGCGGGCTAACAATGCATTTTCGAAAAATTTGGTACAAAGGTATTTCGTTTGAGTTTGGGTTACAGTGGTTTTGCCTCGTTTGATGCAGATTTCATACGTTAAATGTTTTCGCAAGTTATCTTTTAATGAGCGGGCCATTGAAGACCAGCTTGCTCATACTATTCCAATGGCGGACACATTTATTTTGTTTTCTGTTCCACAAGTACTAAATATTACATATATTTCTTACTGGGTTTCATGGATCGATGCTCTAATGTGACGTCACAATGACGACAGTCGACATACGACACCCTGCTCTTCCTTGCCATGCTGCCTTGGTAAAGGTGCGACTACTTGAGCAGTCACCACCATACGGGAGCAGGCTTGTTCGCCGTCTCGCCTTCTCTAGTCGCCTCACGGGTCGCGTCCAATGAACCTCCGCCTCAGCCGTCTACATGTATAATGCAACTGGGGAGTTCCGACACACTTCCAAAGGTGACCAAGTCCCTGCGGTTGCTGTAAATTAGCCTAACACGTGCATGTCGAGGCACCATTGTTGTTCCCGCACAGGTCTCGCACGTGAAGCTTGATAATTTGTTTTCTATGTCCCGGTGATACCATGGATGTCACAACCATTCCTGGCGGGTAGCCGCATTCACACATAAGGCATTTGTTTTCTCTGTCCCGGTGACACCATGGATACCACAACCATTCCTGGCGGGTAGCCGCGTCCACTCATAAGGCAGTGAGTTCCGTCCACTAGCCAAAAGCTAGTCCCATTGCGAACCGGTTACCGTCACCGTCACCCGCCAGACCCGGCACCGGTCCTGGGCTCATGCCACCCCGACACAGCTGTCACGCCGCGTCACCCGCCAGACCCGGCACCGGTCCTGGGCTCATGCCACCCCGACACAGCTGTCACGCCGCGTCACCCGCCAGACCCGGCACCGGTCCTGGGCTCATGCCAACCCAGACCCGCTTGTTCAACGGCCGCGTCACCCGCTCCAGACCCGGCAGTACGGTCCTGGCCGCTCATGCCACCCCGACACAGCTGTCACGCCGCGTCACCCGCCAGACCCGGCACCGGTCCTGGGCTCATGCCACCCAGACACAGCTGTCACGCCGCGTCACCCGCCAGACCTGGTACCGATCCGGGGCTCATGCCACCCCGACACAGCTGTCACGCTGCGTCACCGACCAGCTGGCACGCCGTATCACCCACCTGCAGAACTGGCAGGTCTTCCTCGAGCTGATGGTGATGGGGCAGTGCTCGTCGTACGAGCATCGGAAGTGCTTGTACGCCTCGTTCTGCACGCTGCGCCGGAAGAAGGCCTTGCAGGAGTCGCAGGCCATGCCGCCGAAGTGGAGGCTCTTGGCCTGGTCGCCGCAGACGCTGCAGATCTTGGCAGCGCACTGGCCGGCCGGCGGCTGCACGGCCAGCGCCGACGGGTACATCCGCCGGCTCAGCATCGACGAGAACTCGTCCTGGCTGCCTGCGGGCGCGCCGGCGCCGGGTCAGCGGCCGCCGCTCCGGAGCTCGCGCTGGCCCACGGGAACGACGGGGTCCGAACTTTATTGGTAAGTTAGAATGTAGCTGCATTCCCATCACTTAAGGGGTTAACTGGGTACATGCCGTAGCGGCGAAAGAATGAACGCACGAATTTTACTCGCGCGTAAGCAATTTGTTTTAAGCACTGCCTTTGCGAGAGGATAGGGGGTCAGCGTGGCGATGGCTTGTAGGGCCTTGTGTCCCTGAGTTCCGGGTCACAGTTTCAGACTGGTGATTTGCATTTCTTCCTTGTCCAGGCTTCTGGCGCATTGCACAGCCTGCGCAATGGCGCTAAATTTCTGGCCATGCTGCATTGCGAATTACATTAGGTACGCGTCGTAAATACCTCCAAGAATGAATGCGCTGCCACGTCACGAGCAGGTTTCAATGGCTACATAAATTAACGGAAATGGTAATAAAATTAACAGAATGGAGAGAAATCAGCATGCAGGCTGCGGCAGGTGGATTGCGTTGTAAGAAGCTGAAGTCACGGCCAGCTTTGTTACCATGGTTACTGCGAGAATAAAAGGCCGCTGCGAAACAGTCTCGCACGGAATGAAGTAGCGTAGCCAAAGCGAATGAGAGCTTCAATATCTCAGGTGCTTGGTGACTAAAACAGTGCAGTGGGGTGAGACCTCAAGGTGACAACAAAGGAGGGAGGGAGCTCTCCAGCGCTTTAGCGTTGCGGAAATTGCAGGACTCAGCTGCCATCTGGTGCAAAGCAGAAGATGTAAACAATCCAAGCCGGCATTGAAGAAGCCATTGCCCATGAACTTCTCTAGACTGCACCAGACTCGACGTGGCGGGGAGCTTTTGCACTCGGGGGCCGGATGCTCGATTTTGCACTCGGGGGCCGGATGCTCGATTTTGCACTCGGGGACCGGATGCTCGATTTTGTACTCGGGGGCCGGATGGTCGATTTTGCACTCGAGGGGCCGGATGCTCGATTTTGTACTCGGGGGCCGGATGCTCGATTTTGTACTCGGGAGCCGGATGCTCGATTGTGTACTCGGGGGCCGGATGCTCGATTTTGTACTCGGGAGCCGGATGCTTGATTTTGCACTCGGGGGCCGGATGCTCGATTTTTCACTCGGGGGCCGGATGCTCGATTTTGTACTCGGGAGCCGGATGCTCGATTTTGTACTCGGGAGCCGGATGCTCGATTTTGTACTCGGGAGCCGGATGCTCGATTTTGTACTCGGGAGCCGGATGCTCGATTTTGTACTCGGGAGCCGGATGCTCGATTTTGTGTCCGTTGCTACTTTGCGCCCAGGTGTGGCTTCCTGTATGTTTGCATGCGCGAGGGGGCGTAACTCTTAAAAGCATTTTAAAGACCGACAAACTCATGCTGCTGGGTGTTTGACAAATATGGAATGTCTCTTATACGTCTGTCTGAATTTGCTGATGCATAAAAAACAATGGCGCGTTATCGAAAGTTTCAGATTTTATACAAGTGCCTAACGTCACGTGAGAGTTTTGCACCCGACGTGTTGAGCCGCGTTTCGGGAAAGGACTACTGCGCCTCGCTATTTAGCGTTAGCGTGACCCCCGGTCTGCGCTCAACGACGTGCATCAGAGGCCAGTGGTTTGATTCAGAGCGGTGAGTGGCCCGCGTCCCGCTGGGAGGTGGGTATGTGCCCAACAAGTGCAAAACACTCACCCCAAGGGGCATTCAATGGTCAGTGGGTCGTATTCAAGATTATGCTTCTCCGCCTGGCGCATCGCACACCATACCGCCCACAGCTCGGGAACAACAGGACATTGAGGACATGCTCTGCGCTCTGAACGACGAGGCCGTCCCAGTCGTGACGCTGCTTCTGCCGGTGCGCTAGCTTTGAAAGCCTGGATTAACGTCACAATAAAGCCATCTCCGTAGCTATGTAGGCTTCATGCAAAATAGACCTTTCAGAAAGCAGCAACAACAGCCCACCTGTCAAACCAGAAACCATAAATCTCACATTTAATATTGATGCACGCCGCTACGGTCAGTAATGGGGCGTGCAATCACTCCGGGCGATTCGCACGAGCCCGATCAATGTGCACACAACTTTGGCGAGCAATCGCAACTAAAGCGATTTGTCTAGTAACGTCGGGTAGTGATGCCACACTGCAAGCGTGCCACCGGGGCGTATCTGGGTCAGGGTGACGCGCGAGCGGCCAATGAGGAAGCGGATGGTCAATATTTTACGAGACGTATCGACCGTACATACTGTCTGAGACAGGACCTTGTTCAAAGTGCACGGTGATTAGTCATTGTCAACTAACGCATTGCTTTTGCATGACAGCCACTCGACCCGTGCCGCCTCGTTCTTTGAGGACATCAACCCATGCATCACTTATGTTTTCATAAAATGGCAGCAACACTGGATTTTGGAATGGTCTTCAGGCCGCCGCCCACACAAGCTTTCAGAATACAAACACCAGTTGTTTCCGTTATATATATATATATATATATATATATATATATATATATATTTGCCAGGGCACGCGGAAGCAGGGAGCCGCATCATTCTACCCTCAATACAAAAACAGTGCTTTTTCCCTCGTTGTACATAACGATGAAGGGCAGGGTGAAAAGGAGCTAAAGCCCTTCCACGACCCTTTGCATATTCCGCTACTCAAGTATACCTGACCCCTGTCATCGCTGAGTTCTGTCAGCACACTTGATTCCGCCTCCGATTCAATCAAATGCGTAATATGAGTCGTTTCCACTTTGATTCAACACACATCTGGTTTATTCTAGATGAGACCCAGATGCCATCGGGTCGGGCGACAACTCTCCTGCTCATTAGCTCAGACAAAGCGTAGAGATACTACATAAAAATATTCCGCTTGCGCCTGCACTCTTCGTCTGGCCATGAGTGCAGCCACCGGGTGGTTGCTCGACATGTTTCCCATATTGTCACCAACGGCGTATTCGCAGCGCACCGACCACTTTTTATTCTGCATGACGTCACGTAAAATCTCCGCCGGACTTATCCGCGGCGCTCTTTTACTCGTTTTTTGTTTACATTTACGTAGCTGCCGTGACAAAAACTGCACATGCGAAGACACAAAATTTTATTTGGCAGGCACTATGGGTATTCCTAAGAATGGAAACTGCAATTATGCTCATTGTAATGTATAAAGCACCTTTTCATCTCCCTAGTCAGTCCTGGGCACGCAAATTGACCTCTTTATAACTGAATCTGTTGCACTATTTTATTTATTCTACGCAACGTCACGCAGAATCTTTGTCGTTCGGGCCGCTGCGGATACCAAATGGCGCAGAATCTTTGGATATGACGTCATGAGTGACGTCTTCGGCATAGTTGTCGTCCGGGTCGCCGCGAATAGACCTCAAATTTAATCCTTTTTCAGTCGTCACAATACCAACAATGTCATTTTGTCTCCTCCAATTTGCTGACAGAATGTACGTTTTCCAGTTAAGTGCATTCAAAATGTCATTTCCAGGTCCGGCTTGCCCCAATTTTAGTTTATCATTCCAATGCTTTACGTGCATGTTTCGTCCAAAAAATCAACAACAACAAAACAGACCTAAGCTCCCAGCTGGCAAGCAAGGTCGTGTTTTGGCCCCGGCTCTCTTCGTCTCCAGGCCATGTCATACCCTGCCGGCTGATCGCTGATTAGCGTCAGCGACTTCATCTTTCAGTGCATATGACCGGGGTCTGGCTGCTCCGGGACCTCAGAAAGCTTGAACGGGACGCTATCCCGGCAGCACCGGGGCCAAACCGTGACCTGTCCTGGTTAGTTTACATGTCGCTCACCAGGTGGCGCGCGGCGCTGGCGGTATGCCCCGCGGCGGTTCGGGGCCGCACTCCCGGCTGGTGGCGGCAAAGCGGCTTACGGGCGCCGATCAGCTGATGCCAGCACCGGCAGCAATTAGGCCTAATGGAGGCCATGGAGAGGCGGAGGCGGCGCCACTGTGGGCACGAGTGGTGTCGCGGAGAACGCGGCACAACCGGCGACACCGGCCTGTCCAGTGGAGGAGTGGCGCAACTGAGTCATGACCACCTCTCAAGGTAGTGCGGCTGCTCTCTTTCTAGACTCGGTTTTCGGGTAAAAACATGACGCTTATCAAGGCGTTCAGAACTAACCCCAGAACATTAATGTTGGTATCAACCTTTGGCCGGCGGGCCGTTCCCGAGGCCTGTATGGAAATTGGCCATGTGCCAGCAGGGCATTCGTCGAGGGCATGATTTGATAGCACAGCGCACTGAATACACGCTTCTTCAGCAGTGTCAAGATGTCTGAGGACGGAGGGCTTTAGATACGATATCAAGGGGCCTCGGCTTGAATACACATTAATTAAGCTGTGCAGCACATGGCCGTCTGCGCTCCTCTGCGACAAAACCTGGTCCACTGCTGTCGTGCAGGAGATTCGACGTCACGTGTGCTCTTCGGAGGACGTGTTTCCTGAAGCAAATCGATGCAACTCGCCTTTTTGTAAGAGTACGTGTCGGTTCTCGAGTCATCAAGCCGTCAATGGTCCGGCAAGAGACGATTAGTGAACTAAAAACGACAGAAAAATCACTGCAGACCGCCAGTGACGTAATTTTGATGATTGAATATCGGTGTGTCCTGCAAGTGACGCATCCATCATGGAGTTCCGACAGAGGTGCGTTTCGTTCCCAGCGCTGTTAGCGTTTGAACACATGATTGCATCAGTGTCTCACCCTTTCCAAGCAACACGCACATAACTGATGCTCATCGAAACCGGTTCATGGCTCGGCAATCGAGGTCGCAGGGGTAAAGGGATAAACACGTTCCGCCTAGGACAAGAACTCGAGATCGCAGAGAAAAAGTGCAAACGATGCGACGGCCAGGCACGTGCAATATTGTACCAATAGACGATTTATTAGGTTCCCCCGATCCACGCCAGATCACCACCTTACGCTCGAGGTTCGCCCGATCCACGCCATATCACCACCTTACGCTCGAGGT